ATCTTTTTTGGGAGTAGAGGTTGTTCAAGACAAGAAGGTGATATTCATAACTCAGAGGAAATATGCAGAGGAAATTCTGAAGAAGTATGAGATGGAGGAGTGTAATCCTGTTATGAATCCTATGGTTCCAGGACAGAAATTGACAAAGGCAGGAGCCGGTGAAGAAGTAAACCCAACAACGTTTAAGCAACTTGTTGGAAGCTTGAGGTACTTGATTGCTACTAGACCGGATTTGATTTATTTGGTGAACTTGGTCAGTAGATACATGGAGAGTCCGAATGAGCAACACATGGTCGCAGAGAAGAGAATACTGACATACATTCAGGGAACTCGAGATTTTGGTATTCAGTACAAGTATGGTGGAGAGCAAACGCTGGTCGGGTACGTAGACAGTGATTATGCAGGGGATGTTGATGATTGTAAAAGCACCTCTGGATATGATTTTATGTTGGGAGGAGGAGCAGTGTCATGGGTCTCTAAGAAGCAACCAATTGTGACTTTGTCTACAACCGAAGCAGAATTTGTTTCAGCAGCCTATGGAGCATGTTAAGCAGTGTGGCTAAGGAATATTCTGTCGGAGATTGGTTTTGAGCAAGAAGAAGGTACTGTTATGTTCTGGGATAATAGTTCAACCATAAAATTGTCTAAGAATCCGGTGCTACATGGAAGGAGCAAGCATATTCATGTCAGGTTTCATTACTTAAGGGAGTTGGTGAATGATGGTGTCATTCAACTTGACTACTGTGGAACACAAGATCAGATTTCAGATATCATGACAAAGGCTGTGAAACTTGATGTGTTTGAGAAGCTTAGGAGCAGGATGGGTGTGTGCTTGAAGGAAGAGAATACTGGAAAGGAACCATTCCAGTTTAAGGGAGGGAATGAAGAATAATGTCCTAAAGAATCGGACAACTCAGTTTCATGTCTGTTTCAGTTTTAATTTTCTTAATAAGTCTTCCTGGTTTATAGGGATAGACCAAGTTTAAGTTTGTTTCAGCAATTCTAGTAGCTTAAGTTTCGCTTTCAAGTTGTAAGTTCAAGGTCTATTTAAGAGACCAACCTCTTTAGTGAATAAGAAGAACTTTTCAGCTCATCTCTTTCTTGTTCTTAAAGAGATTCAATTTACAGAGACAACACGACTGTCTCTCTCTTTGTCGAAGGCGATTTCGTTGGAGAATCTGCGATTACGTTTATTGTGATTTTGTGGTGACTGAGAGTTCGATCCACCAGATGCATAATCTCCAGAGTCGCTTTCCACCATCGACGACCCGAGCTCCGATGATGACAAATCAAAAGAGTTTTGTTTTATCGATTCTTTAGAGTTTTGGACTCCGATTTGGTTTCGTCTTGTCCTGCACTTCGAGATTCTAGCTATGTTGGCGGATTATAAGCCTCGGTCGAACAAGTCTTTACCTTCTTTGGCTTCTTCAATTAAGGTTTCGTTTCAATATCTAGTTGCTCAAAGCTTGTAGCTTTAGGTATCTGGGTTTATCAGTGACAATGGCAATTCTGAAATCGAACTGCCACTTAATTGGTCAAAGTTTGTGACTTCATGAAATTTGAACTGCTCTGCTTGGTTTTAGGCGTTGAATAAGGTGTCCAAGACTTAAATCTCATTCAAAAGCTGCCTTTTGAAGCCAATTCTTTCCAAGTTATTACCAATGTGGTAAGACCAAACATCAATTAGAGATTGGGTTTTTGATTCCTCTCTCCGTGGTGATGTTTCTAATTAGTTGTGTGCTTAATTGTGAGATGAAGTCAACACTCCATTCTTCTCAGATTAATCTTATTGATGTAAGCACTAAGAGCACCAACAATGGTGGTCTCTCTTAAGAGTCCCTTATAATAAAAATAAAGAAAAATGATTAAAAAGAGAGGGACAGAGGAAAGAGGGGCTCCAAAAACCCTTATTTAAGGGACAGTTCAACACCAAATATACACGTGTAGTTTATTTAGTAGTCAAACTATATTAAAAGATTAAAATATAATAATAACATTAAAATATTATTATTATTTTGTTTTTTTAGGGATTGTCATCGTCCCATCCGTTAAAGGTGGTCTAAGTAGAGTTTTGTGTGCTTATACTCAGGTTTAGAGTGACGAATTAGGATAAGCAACTGATAAACTTATAACAATGCGAGTGGCTACTGTTTTTGTGCATTGCTATTGCATTGAGTTGCAGAACAATAAGTCGGCTAAGATGAAGCAGAACAAGCTTGGTCTCCGTCGTGAACAATGGCTTTAAAGGGTTTCTCGCTTGATACTTTTTGGTCTTGTAAGATTATTTCTTTGCCTCAAAAACAATTTCAGTTCGATTCTTGTTTGCAGCTTGAGTCTACTACTTCTGTAGTATCACTTGAGATGGTTATAGTTGATTTATCAGCTCAGATTTAACATTTTCACAGTTGAGTTATAATGTCAACTTGATCGAATATATGACTATATGATGAAGGTTATCTTTTGATGTGTCATGTATAGTTCTATCATCAACATGCATCTTTTGATGTGTCATGTATAGTTGCATCATCACCATCACCACCGTGACACACATGCATATATACACGTTTGTAATTGTGGTTTACTTGTCGGCTCATATTTGTATGTTTCTTATATGAAAGTGGCTGCAGTTGATATTGTTGCAATTCCTTCTGAAGCAAACTATGTAGCTTTTGATGCTTTACGTCTTGGTCGCTTTACTCAACAGGTTGTTTGTCGCCTACTTCGTTTTTGGGATGCTCGCAACATCAAGAAAGATGGTTAATTCATGGGCATAGTCCTCATGTTACTCAATGAAAAAGTAAATCTTCTTAGATGTTTAATGTTTTTTGTTTCATATGTAATTGATGTTTAATATCCTTCAAAATTTTGTGAAAAAAAGATCTTTCAAAATCAAAAAGTAATATGTATATACACAAAAGAGAAATGTGTCCTTTTATAAAAAAAATTGTTTATTCTTACAATTTCTTTTTAATGAAAATTGATTTCAGCCGACTCTCATAATTCATAAATTATAGTTCGGATTCAGATAACGGATATTTCCAAGTGGCTAAATCAAATATATCAATTGTGCTAGTCCCTCAAACGATTTAGATTAAAAGAAAAGAAGAGCAAGATACCATTAAATATGTTATTTAATGTTAAGTATCTTGTTTAATCTTCGAGACAATCTTTGTGCCCAACATTTTCGGAGGTGGATGCAACATCTTCCACCAATTTTGGTTCTTCGAAGTCGGCCTATATTTCATCAAAAGTAAAAAAGTAAAAAAGCTAGTCGTTAGATTTAACATGTCAAAATCACTTAAGATGTGATTATATAAACCAGTAACTAACGATTCAGGTTCAGTGGTATTGGCACAACAGAAACATTTCAGTTTTACTAAAAGAAATCCATAGATTACCATCTTTATAGCTTGTTCAGGTTTTAATTCGCCATTGAGAAGTCGTGTAGCTAGCACTCTTGAATTCTGTAAACAAATAATAAGAGATCACAACTAAAGACTCAAATTAAACGAGTAATAAATGAAGAAACTAAAAGCTTATTTCAATGGTAAAGAAACTGAGAACATCTATAAACAATTTATTGGAGACAAGAATATTAGTGTACAACTTACTTGGATCATGTAATTAATGTGAACCAAAATACTATTGATGTAAGTATATATACAATATAGTCATATATATGGTGTATTTAGCTTATTTTAAAATATATTTTTATAATCATTAATTCGTTAGATATCTCTTAGACCATCCTCATCGCACATAAAAAAAGGAGGTCTTTAAATAAAAAAAGAATAAAAAATAATGAAAATAATAATTTAGTACACAAACAGGAAGACCCGTGTCTCTAAGTAGACATTAAAGACATTATCTTTAGTGAGAGGTCTCCATGTGTCAACTGTTGATTAGTTTAAATATTTTAATCAAATAAAATTGAAAATAAATAATTTAAGTAAATATTTGTAGACCTTCTTTTCAGTATTACCGATGAGGATGCTCTTAAGGCCAACAAAATTTCATATATTAGAATGAAGTAATTGTCATGAAAGCCTAGGACTTAATTCCATCAACAAATGCATGGCAAAACAAATCAAGAAACAATACAAAAAAAATTAAGGAAATGGGAACTAAACTAACCTTGAGTCTCTCGACCAAAAGCTCCAACTTGTAATTATACTTTGGTATATCATCCGCGAAAGAATCATATAAAGCCTCCTCAAGAGCAAGTACCATCCGAACAACATCCTTTCGACTGGTCCCCGTACTTTCACAACACATGTTCTTAAGTACTACTTCTAAAAGCTCCAACAATGTCTTGTCACGATCCAAAGCACTGGATGGTAACGACTCTAACTTCTCCGAGATCGGCTTAGGACTCATTCTCTCACACTTCCTAACAATTTTTTTACGCCTCGGAATCGTAGTCGTTTGAACTTTCTCAACGTCAACGAGATTACCAATTCTCGAAACCGTCTTTGCCACAAGCATATCAATCTCAAACTTTTGCTCCTCTTCAAAGCCTTCATGAGAGAACTTCCTCACCTTTTTGCGAACATTATCATAAACCATTTGCACGATGAAGCCGGAATGATGAATACGGTTTGGGATTTGCTTATCATCTGGCACGAAATACACAAGACACTTGTACTTGACAGATTCAGCAAACACTTCATCACAATGAAAACTGAAGAAAATTTCCCTTGGGTTTTCAGTTTTCCACTTCCCAAAATGTTTTTCTTCGATATCTTCTCTGCGGTAAAACCACTGCACCTCCATCTTCACAAGTCCATCTTTTTCTTGTGAATAAATATCCTGTCCAACAAACAATAAAAAAATCATATCAATTGTTGATTATAATAGGAACAACTAAAAATCATATTAACATTTTTTTCATCTTATTTTTTTTTTTTTTTGAAATCCAGGAGGTTATGGGTCAAAGCCCGTAATCTCCCCGAGGCCCGAAACCACAGCATGTAATATTAGTTTCGTCCCAAACGTTACTCGAACTGCCGACCTCTAAGGTTCGCCTAGGGTCTTTACCAATTGAGCTAACGGCACTTAGTCACGCTTAACTGCGGAGTTCTGATGGGATCTGGTGCATTAGTGCATGTATGATCGCATCCCATTTTTTCTTTTACCTTGATGATCGCAATGTATTCCTTTTGTTTATTGTCTTCTGGACACAATAGCACAAAGTCTTTCTACAAAACAGAAAAGAAAAATCTAATGTAAATGGTACTAAAATAACTACACAGATAGAACTTTTATTCTTATCACACAACTTTTTTTTTTGTCTAATCGTAAGTTGTAACTCTTATTGTTTTTTAATAAACAAAATCTTAAAACAAATCAAAACTCACCAGTCTATATTGTTTTCCATGAAACTCGAATGTCTCGTAATGACATTTCTTGTTTTCTCCCTTACCAGTATACTTAATCGGTTTGCCAATTGACTTCGCACAATCGCTCGATCTCCGCTCGAACTTTGCTTTCTTCTTCACTTGCATTTCCTTACTCTCCTCCACCCTTCTCTTCTTTGTCTTCGTTTCTTTGGTGCTTAACGTCGACAATGGAACATTGTCAATCACAACCACTTCATTCGATTGCTGGATGGACATGTCTATCGTCCACAACTTTCTTATACGAGTCACAATGAAATTATAAGTTACAAATCCGTTTTTCACCCTACAGTTGTTGAATCAAAAAGAAACATTAATAACTATTAACCAATAATTTTCAAATAGATTAGTCACTCAAAAGTGTACCTGATTCATATCCCACCAGACCAATGTTTAGATATGTCTTGGAATATGCTTTTCTCAGCCTCTTTCTTATAAACTGGATTATATCAACAAACAAATACTACACTACAAAGAATTTAGTTCATATTTTCCCACTTTTAAATAAACGCTTAATAAGAAATATAAGGAGGAAAGAGGGAAAATGAAAAAAAGAGATTTGAAATCAGTAGATTTTGTCCATATAATGTTTTTTTTATTACCTGTTAACAGAAAAACAAGAAAAAATAATTATATAAGGGAGTCAACGAAAAACTTTTCTCGTTTTGGTCATTTAAATTACAAAGATTCTTTACCATGCAATGTATTTTGTTAATGTGACCTGTACAGAAATAACGTTCTAAAACTGGATTATCACGCAGTCTAGAACTAACACTATGAAGATCATACATTAAATTTCATTGAGAAATGGTCAGGCCCTTACATATTTGGGAGACATGTAATACGCCAAAATCCACAAGAAGATTGGTGTATATATTGGCAAAATAATGGAGTAGTCTTTTCATGGCGTACTTTGCATCTTACCTGAGTTTGTGCTTAACAAGGTAAAACCAGTTATATTATGATATATGGTTTGATACGGTTTGATCCGGTTATCTTTGGTTATTGTAACCATGGTTTAATGTATTTATATGATGTATATATAAAGGATGTCTGTAGCTGGCAGATCTACAGCCCAAGATCAGGTGGGGCTCGTGCCCTATACTCTTTTTTAATAATTAAACAATTGACTACAGTGATATGAATATATGTTACCTTTTATTTTCTTTGAATATAGGTTACCTTAATTGGTAAGAGTGCTCCACATTAAATCTAGGCAGCATGGTTCGATTCCCATTACATACAACTTTCTAATTTTATTATTTATCTTCTTTTTTTTGCCGTCAAAATTTATTATTTATTACAAATTATGAGAACTGTTTCATAGACGATTCTACCACGGACAATTCCTTCTGACCCTTATTAGATCCACGACAGACGACACTTCCTTCTCCTTCTCCATGCGCTTGATGGACACCTTCAATATCTTCTCTGCGTAGAATCTTGGCGAACGACTATAATTGTACATCGTTGTAGATCTCATGCACACTTGCCTCCATTAATCTGCAAATCTGCTAATAAATCGCAATAGCTGAGACTCGAACCTCAGACCTCTTGGTGTATAAGCATTAATGAACCCTTGGTCAATCATTGGGTCAAGGGGGCTTCCACTATTATTTATCTTTAACATTTTTTATTATTTAAAAAACAAAATTCTGAGTTAAATATAATTGATGCCCTATATAAATTTATTTCCTACATATGCCACTAGCTGGCACCCTATACTATAGTTGCTCAACTAGAATCAACCTATATTGTCGTCAGCAAAATTCAACCTACACAAAATTATAATTTTCTCATTCCACCTAATCTCTAAATCTCTACTCATTTCACCAAATTCAATTAATCTACTCAGTTGTGTTTTAAAATTCTAATTTGGCGATCACTATACTGCGATTAGATATAATTAATCGGGTTAAATTTAGTTAACCCGTCTATGATGGTATAGTCCATATTGAACCCTTCTTCCTGAGAAAGAGGTTTCGTTTTTCCCTTAAAACAAAAAACATTTGTAAACGAGGACCAAAATTCTTGTTAAGACCTATGTTTTGTTTGTAATGAAAGTGCAAGAAAAAACATCCAATTTAGTCTCAAAACAAAACCAAAACATATCCAATTTAATCTAAAAGCAAAAGCAAAACACATCTGATTTAGTCTAAAACTAAAACACACGACAATAATGTTGTTGATATCTAAAAGCAACAGCAAAAAACCATGCAACATAAAAAAACCATACAACACATTCAACTGCTAGTTACCAAACCTAACTACTCTTGTGTTGCTGCAGACGGTTGGGTGATTGAGATCGTCTCCTGACCTTGAGTCTTCTTCTCCTTCTCACTTTTCTTCTTCTTCTTAGTCTTTATCTCCTTCTTATCCTTATTCTCTGTCTTAGCCTTCTTTGCTTTATTTTGAAGCTGATACTAATAGTTGTCACTAGGAAGCTTAAATTCCAGTTCAGATAAAATTAATAAACTTTAAACCAGAATAATACCTCATATATTCCAGCATTCTTTGCCTTTCTCTTCCTTGGCACCTTCTCCTTAGGAAAGTTCTTACATCCTAATGCTTTGTGACCAGCTTCACCATAGCTCTTGCAATGAATGACTATTCATGTCCGACCAAGTTTATCTACTTCATTCTTGTTCTTCTTCTTCTTTGGTGAATCATTTTTACCTTTGATCCTTGCAAACTTCTCTCTTTTTCTCTTTGATCCTTTTCTTCTACTAGGAAGAGGAGGTGGTGGTGGTGCGATTACCAACCTGTTAGTTGAATCCATCCAATAATTACCAACCTGTTAGTTGAATCCATCCAATATTTGGGTCCCCTTAATGGTAAGGTGGTTGTATCATAGGTGCTTCTCCATAAATATGTGGAGAAATAACCGGATATGTAATCCTCCGCGTTGAAACCAGCTTTTAACATCGCAACATAAACATGCTCACAAGGAAATTTAGTTATTTGCCATTTCCCACAGAAACATTTTTTCTTCGGTATGTCAACTCTATTACCATTTCCATCTAAATATACCTCAAATATGCCATGTGTGCAACAGTATACTGTGCATTTATCTACAACTATCTTCTCAGAGGCAACTATCTTCATAACATATTTTAAAAATCTTCCTTGGTGGTTCAGTGATTTCTTGTTCCTCTTAACGATACGTGTCATTTCTTGCCTCCTTATGGTTTCCAGCATTGGAACCAATGCCTTTGCTCTTGCTTTGATGATGGTGGAATTGAATGACTTGGTAGCGTTGTTGTCTACATCCTCTAAACAACTACCAAGTCTATAAAAGGACAGCGACCATGTATGTGGCTCCTCTCTCATCACATCATCAGACAAGGCATCATCATAACATCTCAAGATGTTAAGATCGGAAGCATACTCTTTCTCATTGTAGCTATAGGCTAATTTCCAAACTAATGTCTTTAGCATATCTTTGTTGGCATGTTGATATCATGCATTTTCTGTTAGGGTGCAAGTATGCAATGTACATGATGTCTTGATCACAAAAAGTTGCTTCGTCTTGACAAAGGAACAATAAACTTGCCACTTACATTTACCACCCACGCCGCACTTGAATGCAAACCTTTCCTTTTCCCACTCATTTTGAACCGCATTAAAATGGTTCTAAGAACACTCCAAAATGGTTTCTTTGAACTCAATACTTGTGAAGAAAGTACTTCTGACAACCAATTTATCACCCATAGCCCTTTTAATCCTTAGATCCCTCAGCAAAATGGGATCCTCATCTTCATCTGAGCTATCTGAAATCATATTTCGGCCAATTTAAATCTCATCTGCAAAACTAGCTACTCCATCCCCTACTTCATAGTCAAAACACTCTAATGTATCTTATACCTCTCTTTTTTTCTAAGCTGTCTTCTTAGATGGATTCTTAGATTTTTTCTCTTTCTTCCTTCTTCCACTTTCCTCAATCTCCTCTTCACTTTCAGATTCTTCTTCAACCTCAATTAACAATACAATTGATATAACCCTGTTTTTCCTGATTTTAACTACGTTTTAGATTTAGGATTTTGAGTCTTTATGTTATTTCTCGAGTCTTTTTAGAGTCTTTTCAGGTATTCTATGCAGTGGGACAACAATGGAGATGAGGAGACATTTTGGAGCAAAAGCTAAGGAGAAGGAAGCTAAGGACGATTTCAGTTCCAGATTCAGTGAGAGTGTCGATCGACACAAAGGAGTGTGTTTTATAGGGCATATATAGTTTTAGTCCCTGAACGTTTTATAGGGCATATATATAGTTTTAGAGGTCATTGTTTAGACCAAAGTTCTTTTCTACCAAGTTTTCAGAGAGACATAAGCTATTCATCCATATTTTCAGAGATTCATTTAGTTTCCAATACAGTGAAGAGATCCTTTCATACTATAATCTTATTTGCTGTGTTTATACTTTCTTACTCAATTATATTGCTTGTTTCAAACTATATGTCTGAGTAGTTTGCCTGTTAGGAATAGGGTTTCTCATTAGGAATTCATATGGTTTAGTAGATCGCCCCCTTTGCTAGGTTATCTGTAGAATTCTTCATCTTTAATTGTTCTTAATGCTAGATCTAGAGTAATTAACTAGAACTTGAATCCAGACAATAGATATACCCGCCATAGGTATCTGTAGTTGGATCTATTATTGGATGAGCCTGGTTTATAGGTGTGTAATAAGAATCGGCCAATCTACTAACGTGAACAATTGAACTCGTTTA